ATGGCATTAGTGAATATCATGGTTTCTTTTCTGATTTAGATCACCAAGAATAACAGTTCTTCTCGTCAAAAATATGAAAGCAATCCTCTACCTAAAAATGGCAATCAAGTTGTTTGCAATTCACCACCCATGCGCCTTTGTAAGGAACATGCTTTGAACAACAAAGGGGTTAGTATCACTAAATCAAAACTTGAATTATAGTGCTATCCATAAATTTGCAAAACATAGGTTTTAAGATTGCTCATAATTATATAACATTGTGAACCTTGTGGTGTATCTGATATCATCCATATTAAAGAGCTTTTACCATATATACACCATGTAATCATTTGCATTATCGATATCCAAGCATTTGCCTATTTTAAACAGATTGTATAACCAAAAGGATCCATTGGTTTTGCTAATTTATATGAAATGATAAAATAAAATACTGGTAAACACTGCCTCCATCTATCATTTTTCACTTTGCAAGGTGAAACAAACAAGTRAAATTTTGAATGAAAAACAGAATATCCAGAGTTCCTTTTGGTTGAGTAATCTCCATTTGACAATTGCMATTTGACATTCTCACTAACAGCCTTTTTGAAATAATATGTGTATGAGTGAGAGGATCTCGTTAGTCGTTTAAGTCAAGAAAAAAATAATATCTTAGTTGTTACTCGGAAAAAAAGAATCTTTTAGCTGTTAGTCACTTAACTCTTAACCAGAAAATTAGCAATTGAGTAAATTCCTCTGTGGGTTCCTGTTCATGATAATGCAATGTATATATTAAGCAGAACTGTGTGTATTCTTGAATGATGCATTGTAATTACCCTGTGTATGTTTATTGAGTACAATATTGTTGTAATGTTTCATATGTTTAGGCTGAATACCTTGAAGCTGTAACAAATGCCTACATGCTGAGTGGTTTGTTGGTTTCAGATTTGAAATCAGGTACACACCCTCGCACACACAATACAATCTGTAGCACCTATAGCCATGAGAAACAAGTTAAATACAATCTGTAGCACCTATAGCCATGAGAAACAAGTTGATTTGGGAGGATGTTGAACAGGTCGATAATGCTTTAGTAAAGGGTGGGAACGTCAAGTGACAAGTCCCTCTTATATTCATTCTATCAGAGTGCCCTAAGAACTGTTCCTTCAGATGAGCATTACATTGTATAAGTTCCTTTATTTTGTTAACCTAGAACTTTTTTACCTAAGATTTACCACACTTTTCCTATACTGATGGTAGTGTTAAAGATGTCCATACTGCAAACACAGGAGGACGGTGAGTAGCCCTTCTCCACATACAAATATTGACATTCTTTATCTTTTGGCTTCTTGTAGAAAGAGGGTGGGACTGGTGGTGATGCTGATGACAAACCACTGCTTATATTTCCTCTGTGTCTTCCCACTTTCCCACTCAGAAAGCCCAAAATAAGGAAAAGAGAAACAGTGGACTTTTGCCAGAGGCATAATAAATTATACCTTTCTGGCCTCCTTTTAAGTCAATCCACAACTCACAGAGAGAGTACAATATGACTTGCACTCACATGCCAAATGCAGTATCATGAATCTACAATTCTTGTAAGAAAGACTAAAGGAATGTCATATAATTTACATATGTGAAATGACAATATTCTTTTCCCTTGTAATTTGTCTCAGGAAAAATTATCAGTGTGAAACAAATAGTACTAAATACTAAATAAATAAATAGTTTGTGGATTATACAGTCGAAAACAAAGGAATTAGCATGCGTTATTACTATTTTTGTACTAATTGGGAAGTTTCACAGATTATAAAGATGTTTTTTATACTTACTGTACCTAATTGTAGTCTGTCATTCTATGGTGAATAATATACTAMTTCTACCACTACTTCCCATTGTCACGAATTGTCCAAGCAATGTCTTTGATTATCTATTTCCAGCTTCACCAGATGGTCTACAGATAGTGGTGGTGGATGTGTCGCCAGTGGTGCAACTCAACAAAGTGAAGAAGAAGAAGGAAATTTCACTGTYAGCTATCTTGCTAAACAACTTGAGAAAAATACAGGTACTGTGATTGGTTTCTTTTCTACTTAATTTCATCAGTTGAAACCTGTTGGTCAGTAATGTTCCATGTTAGTCCAGCAAWTTTAAATCTGGTCTTTACCACATAACAACAAAAAAACTTATATTCTGTATATCAATATCAAAATCAACAAATGTAGTTTATGGAACTTATGACAAACATATTGTGTTATTGTGGTTTAGATTGTACCATTCCGCTTTCAAGAAGTGATGCACGTATAAGTTCAGCAGCTTTGGACTTAGCTCGCAAAATTACCATGTACAATAGCCGTTATAGGATTGAYCAGCTGAAAGATCAAGAGATGCCARTTTTAAGACCTGCCAGTCCATCGGCATTGTGGAGAAATCCTACTATTAGTAAAACCGGGAAGTTTTTATCAAGTACAAAGGTATGTTATTTGTTATCATTCTGTCATTTCCATGTCCTTAATTCCTTCGCCGTTGTCTAATCTTTTCACTTTTTCAACTCACAATATCACCCTTGACCTTTCCAAATCATCTAACCTTATGGATTTGGACTCATCTTTTTCTTCTCATAATCTTTGCTCCACCATCATTTTCACCAGTTTGTCGTCATCGTGTTCTTYCTCTTCTCACATTCCCACTTTCCCCTTCAATCCACTTCTTTGCCACCATCAYTTCCACCTTTTGACCTGTCCACCTCACTAMAAAACAACATGATTCTTYAGGCACCACTTCACGAGATACCAAGGCGTTACCAGTCCTCTACAGATCTTGGATCGAGTACGGATGTTGGTGCACCAAAACCTTCTAGAAGTGTACAGATGACAGGGACGTACTCAGATGATAACTTAACATATGAAAGAGCAGTGATTAGACCAGYGAGATCTGAAGAGAAGCAGGTTCTATATCGTAGACGACCAGGTAAGGATATGTTTGTTGCAGGTCAGTAAACTCATACCATGTTTGACRGACTACTGTGCTTAGCTCGTGGTTGCATTCTGACTGACGGAAGGTCAGGATTGTTTTGCCTAAATGTCAGTATGTTTATGAACAACTCTAACAATATATTTATCAAAATTCATGTTTGGCTTTGATTTTTAATGAGAYAAGATGCACGTGCTGGTTTCCTCTCTCCGGTTTTCAGACGGGTCTGACACTCTTGGGGATTAATGCTAACTCTTGGGGATGAAAGCGTTTTTAGCGTCGGAACGAGACCCGTCTGAAAAGTCAGGCGCATATAAASTTTGTAAGTTGTAAGAAGATGCAGGGAATAATCGCCGGGAAAGCGGTCTTTTTGTGTTTTGTGTTGTTGAATAACTTTAATTGATGGGGATTTAATCTAAAGAGCAGTAAAATGCTGTCCATCCTGACTTATAGGTTACCTACTTCTRCCTTTCTTTGTGTGAAAACCCTCTTGCAATTAAGGGTATACATGTTTTRATTTCATAGAGATGTCGAAGAAATTTGACTTGAGAAGAGATATTAGTAAGGAAGTGTCCAGTAAACCAATGAATAAATACACTACACTGACTGGTGGACGAACTCTGAATAAACCCAGTCAATCAAAARATCTTCAAGGCATTCAGGTAACCGGTAAACGGACCTGGTAAATTGTTTAATTGCTGTACATAAAACAGTCAAAKGAGGGCAGCCATTCTTTACATGCCACTAATTTGTGAGAAGATGGAAAGAGTAATTTTCTTATTGCCTGCCATTTCAACAATTATCAGATGATAGCGACCGTAAAGAAAACATGATAATCTTATTGCATTGATTTACTTTTCTAGGAGACAAGTCAATCTTCAAAGTCTTCCAAGCCATCATCAATAATGTCAACAAGTAGCTCTATTGCCCAGTCTTCTCCAAAGTACGTAGCACTCAATAGACATCAAGTACTAGAGAAAAAACAATACTGGACTTCAGTAGGAGACCAGCAAAGCACATCAAATCACCACAGGACCTCGGGCAGGACTCCATCAGATTTGAAGACCACAGTCTATGATCCACAAGAGGAGSCAGGGTAATGAATGCAGGGGGTATCCAGGGGGATCACAGGGTGCTCATGCACCCCTCCTTTAAAAGACAAAAAAGCGTGAAAAATCATAGATTGACACGTGACATCGTGTTGACGTCATATGACGTGATAGTGACAATTTGGTATGTAAGGGCCCCCTCCCCCAGATGAGTTTTGTCCACCAGGAACTAGATGAAAGCTCATTGAATTAATATCGCTATTCACTAGGCCCCAGGCCAGTAGTAATTTGCTGGCTTTGTATTTCAGAAAACTTGTGAGCTATGCTTTACAGAGACAAAATCAAGAGCCACAAAATCAGGTGTGTGAATGAAAATGCAGGBGCATTAACCAGTAGTACAGTGCATACATCTAAACCCAACACKGGTTCTACATTTTTATACAGTGCTTGTTRGGTTTCAGATAAAATWTCTCTAACAATCCACTGTTTTTGCTTGTTTTGCTCAGTTTTTGTAAAACGTATCCTGACATGCAATATGGCATCAATTCCTTGTATCTGCGTAAATCAGTAATATATGTTTTATAGAGTAATGATAACTAATAACCTTTTATTTTTTGTAGATTAAGATGGTAACATCAGATAACGTTTCTAGAATACCTGGTTTCGATAGTAACGATGATGACGACTCTGGTCCTTTTATCTCGAAATTTTCCAAGATTGGTTTGAGTTCGCCTCGGAGAGAAGCTAAAGTCTTCAACTTTTCTTGTAACCAAGCAAATATTCCTTTTGTGACATCTGTGAATAGTAAGTCTTAAATTAACTCTTCTTTATACATACTTCGCCTTTTTTGGGAGTGGGGGGGGGGCGCTGAAACAATGAAGTACTCCATAATTATTATTTTCATCAATCAAGAAGCTGCCCAATCATAGTATAAACACATGCAAAAACATACGTCTTGACTTGAAACGTTAACCCTCAATCGCGTACTACAAAACGACGGCAAGAGCATTGTCACATGACATCTCCAGGTTAACCGTCAACGTTATTCTAAAAGTCACTATTGTGATCCCACAGAAAATCTACCTGAAACATCAAACTATTGTTCCCTAGCAACCAGCCAAACAGTACCCGACAACCAACATAGCAACAAGGTTTTGACAGCAGAAAGCCAGACAGAGAAAGAAGCTTCCAATAGATCATTAAGAAACAGCCCTCCTCTTTCAACAGGTAACTTGTCTCATCTGAAATTCCTCCGTTTCAGGTAAAAGGGCTCTACACTCCTTTGCATGATGACCAARATCAATCCAAAAGTTTTTTCTTCTTCCTCTGTTTATAAATTGGCATATGAATTTTCATTATATTGTCAAAAATGATTTTCTAGAAAAGATAATGTGTACTTACACGAGTTAATGTTCTATTTGTTTTCAGCTGCCGCACCATCCAAAATATCCCTCACCTTCAAAACTGGTGGTGAAAATAAGACAGAAAAYCCAACCAACTCAAGACAAGGTGCATTTGTCCCACATTTTAAACACTTTTATAAAAGCCACAGATAATGATGTACGAAGAAGACCACTTCACGTTCGTTACTTCAACAATCCTGTTCTTATGACCGAAAACACTGCGAAAATATAGCAATATGAAACTTTTTAGGATTTGCAATTYCATCCCTGTAATGGCTGTGACACACGTCGTTGTTTAATCATGAGTTGAATCTCGGCAATATTATCAATGTCAAATAAACATACTACAGTAGATAAAGGTGAACGATTCTTTCGGTATAAAAAATCAACGGATTCTTAGTAACGGATTCTTAGTAACTTTTAATTACGGCTTGACATTGATAATATTGCCGCGACGCACTTTMCTATCAAGAAACGACAGTGCGTCAATTCCATTCCTTGTGGTGGGCTTTAAGAATTTTAATCACAGGTAGCCCAAGCTATGCATTTGAACCGTTTTTAGCAATTTTGCGAAATGTAACAAATAAACATCCCTACCTGTTTATTGTGGGCTTTTTTTTTACATTTCGCAAAATTGCTAAAAACGGTTCAAATGCATAGCTTGGGCTACCTGTGATTTTAAATCCCAGTATTTTTACGTAATACGAGGTAAAATCTAGAGTGTGCCGCGAGTTATGCGCGGGAAAAAACGTTGTGTTTAAGATGTGTGCAATTCAATATCCATGAATGAATTTTCGCGTGGACATAATAAATTGAAGTGAAATTATAAGTATTGTTGCCTTTTTAGTGATTGAGTCGGTATTTCTTTGTTATTTGTAGTGCTTTTTGTGTGTCATTTGGAAGGCCCGTTTACACTTTTTTTTWCACTACATTTTTGCAGCGCGATTGTCGCGGKACTATCGCCTAAGTTTCGAACATGCCTGAAATTCAACTGCAACTCGCGGCGATTTTCGTTTGGCGCGACAATCGCAGGGTTGTTTACACTTACGATTTGAGGTGC